ACACGAATTACAACCAAACGGTTAACGCACAGTAATATATCGATACTTGCTATTGGATTCATTTTATCTATTATAGTTTTCGAGTAATTTTCGTTATTTTTTCCAAAAATTAAACATCTACTTCGAATCTAATTGTCGTTACAATTCTGTGACTTGTGCAGGAAACGTCGTTTGTGTATTGGACTGCAATTATGATGGCCGCCGTGATCATCTCCCTCTACATAATCATCAACTTCATCATCAACAGATTGGGAAAGAAGAACATAATGTGTGAGTTATCTAAAATCAGCGGTCGCTGAAATAAAATCAGTTGGCGACCGTTCCGACCGAATAAACAATTGCGATTGTGCAGTTTTGCTGGCGAGCATATCGGGTGCGGCCATGATTTCGATCTACTACACCCCGAATCATCACTTCATCATCGTCATGACGACCATCTTCCTGGCGTGCGCCGCCGCCTGCACGATCGTCATCCTCACCATCATTGTCGACCTCTTTCCGACGACTCTAAGGTTTTCGCGTCGACTTCTTGTTTTGATGATGTTGTTGTTGATGATGTTCTCGTTTTGCAGGACTTTGGCCATAGCTCTGAGCATGATGATGGGTCGCGTCGGCACGATGACCGGAACGGCTGTCTTCTCGTATCTCTTAGCTGCAGGATGTGCTCCAGCCTTCATCTTCATAGGTTCGACGTTCCTCGTGTGCGCCTTCCTCGTCGCCTTCCTCCCGAAGACGGATATGAAAGCACTGCAATAGATGATTACGCTATTCGCTTTGTTGTTCATTACTCATTAAGGGAATTCCCGGGAATTATCGGGACTCGAGAAATTTATTAAAAAAAAAAATATATAATAAAAATTTTGTTTAATAATGTTTAAGTAACAGTCGTTGTCATGACATTGAACAATACCAGAAACAAAAAACTATCTTCTCCGGCTTTCTGGATTATGTAGATACTAGTCATAACACTTTATCGCACTTTCAAAATTGTTAAATTAGAATATTTCTATGAAAGCACTGCAATAGATGATTACGCTATTCGCTTGGTTGTTCATTGTCTGTGTATGGTTACTCATTAAGGGAATTCCCGGGAATTATCGGGACTCGAGAAATTTATTAAAAAAAAAATATATAATAAAAATTTTGTTTAATAATGTTTAAGTAACAGTCGTTGTCATGACATTGAACAATACCAGAAACAAAAAACTATCTTCTCCGGCTTTCTGGATTACGCAGATACTTCAATAGAGTCATAACAGTTTCAAAATTGTTAAATTAGATTATTTCTAGTGGTCGTTTCATTGTTTCTATTCTATTTCGCGTCGTCGTTTTTGATGAGAGCGTGAAGAGAGCGAGAGAAAAGTAGTGTTAATGCAAAAAATCAATAGTGGATCGATTTTTTTTGTTTTCGTCGCCGTTTCGTTCCGGTGCGAATTTATCATTTCTGCATGCGGCTTCGGGCGGCTCGAGTCTTCGGCTTCACGTGATGGTATAATGAAAAACCAGGGAATGTCTTTCAAGTTGATGCTGGAGGAGTCCGGTAAGTGCAGCAAGCAAGCAAGCGACTTGTGTAGTAGTAGTAGTAGCAGAAGAAGCGGTGGTAATAGTAGTAATAGTAGTAGTAGCAATAGTGGAAGCATATGTAGTTGATGTAATTCACGCGAAGCACAGGTAGGATATTATAAAAAGGGGGCCGACCTCGAGCGTCTCGATCATTTCTACGGCGAGCGCATCGCTTGAGCTGCGTATTTTATAATTTTTTTCTTTTTTTAAAAAAAAAAAACATCTATACGCATATTATGAAACTGTCGTTTCCGAAGTTGTTCTTCTCATGGCATGATGATAGAATTGATGGTGCTGTGGCTGCTGATGTTCCAGATGGACCCGCCGACTTTGAAACAGCCATCTCCGCTACGGGACTCGGCAAATTCAATCTTCTCCTGCTGCTCATCGCCATACCGTCCGGATGGGCCCAAGTCTTCGACACGAAAGCAATGTCCTACGTCTCACCGGTCGCCCAGTGCGATCTGCAACTCACGCTCGAGAACAAAGGACTCTTAAATGCCATCACCTACATAGGTATGAAAAGAACAGGACAAACAACTCATTCATTCCTTCATTGTTCTATTAATACTTGAAGAGATTTCCATGAATTCATTAAGAATTAGCATCAATTAATCCGGCTTTTATTGGAAACGTTTCCCTTTTTTTATTATTACTTTTCCTTTTTAATGAATCACTCATATGAAACGCGCGATTCAAAGAAACACGAGTCACGTTTATTTCAGAATTGCAATTGTTAGTAGTTTAAGAACATTTTTTTGGATATTTGTTGGTCTAAAGAAATGTTGTTAAATTTTTCGATCCCATTAGGAGTAATGAGGTTGTTGTCTAAAGGAAATTGTTAGCAAAAATGTTGATGCTCATTATGTAAGTTTTTTTTGTGCCGGTTTCATTCATTAAAAAACGAAAAACAATTATTTCTGAATAAATAGGTATATTGTCGAGCGGTTTCATATGGGGATTCCTGGCGGATTCTTACGGAAGGAAAAAGCTTCTGGTCGCGTGCTACCTGCTGGACACCGTCTTCATACTGTCCGCTGGCATCTCGCAGAGCTTCACGATGCTGCTGATCTCCAAGTATTTCGCAGGTTTCATGTGAGTACTAATAAATAAATATATAGATAGCAGTTTTCATTCTACAATTTCGTTCGTTTCGCGCAGAATGAACGGACCGACGGCCATCCTCATCTCGCTTCTTTCCGAGTTCCACAGTTCGACGCACCGGGCCAGATTCTTCCTCTGCCAGGGCCTCTTCAGCAACATGGCCAACGTGATATTACCGGTGATGGCGTGGTTTTTCTTCAAGCAGAACCTGGACGTCGTCATCGAAGGCCTCGGTGAGTGAATTTCAAGTTTTAATCGCGCGCTAATTTCTCGACTAAATAAACAGAAAGGAGGGGAATTCACTTTTTCTGTTGACCATTCAATTTGATTGATTTGTTTTATTGATTTGTGTTGTTGTTGTTATTGATTAGAGTTGCACAATTGGAATTTTTATATTCTTCTGTCGGCGCTTCCGAGCGTCATAAGCGGATTCGCTCATCTGCTGCTGCCGGAAAGCCCGAAATTCCTGATGTCGGTGGGAAGGAACGAGGAAGCCATGGATGTCTTCAGGAAGGTGTACTCTTGGAACACGGGAGAGGATCCGGAGAGTTATCCGGTGAGTTTCCGCGATCATCGATCCAGTCGAGTGCAATTATATTTGTTTTGTTGTTGTTGTTGTTATTGCAGATCAAGGTGTTGGTGGATGAAACGGATAGCAAAACGGACGTGGAAAACAACAATTCGGATGTGAAGGATGTGAAGGCGAGCGGCGGCGGGTTCAAGGAGAAGGCCTGGAACGTCGTCTCGTTGTTCTGCCCGCCGCACCTGTGGATCATAATCTTCCTGTCGGCCGTTCAGATGGGCTACAAGATGGGCCTGAACTCGCTGAAGAACTGGCTGCCACAGCTGTTCACCGCGATGAACGATTTCGTCGAGGCGAACGGTCGCAACGGCGAGTTCTGCATGGTGCTCGACACGATGGCACACAATCACAAGAACGTCTCAGCCGATTGCGTCGTCAATTACAACAACAGCGACGTCTACACGAACCTGATGATCGTCCAGTCGGCGAACATCTTCAGCTTCCTGCTCACCGGTTGGGTCATCAACAGGCTTGGTAACAAGAACCTGTTCATCATATTGGGCGCCATCTCCGGCGCGTGCGGCGGTGCCATCTACTTCGCAACGAATAGCGTAACAGTTGTAGTTCTGTCCACCGTCCTGACCGCGGTGTCCGCAGTCAACGCGGTCGTCTTCAACGTGAGCGTCGTCGAACTGCTGCCCACCCGTCTGCGGACGATGGCCATCTCTCTAACAAGACTCATCGGCCTGGTGGAAACTATCGTCGGCAACATGATATTCCCGTACCTGCTCAAGTCCGGCTGCGCCCCGCCCTTCCTCTACGTGGGCATCATCACCGTAGGCTGCTCATTCATAGCCCTGTTCCTGCCCAAAGAGAAAAATCTCGCCTGAAAAACTAACGCTCGCGATCTTCGCACAACCCAATATACTCATCATATATTTATTTTTTTTAGCCTTAATTGTTTTTTTTGTTACTTTCTTTTAATTGTTACCACAAATGTTTGCAAGTTTTATTTGTCTGTTGTTCTCTGTTCCGTTCTCGTCGATCTATTTATATCGAATCGATACTGCAAATAAATCTACATTTTTATACTAGTCAAAACTCTATAAAAATTAGACTTACTAAAAAAAAAAAGTGGGAAAACAAAATTATAAAATAAATAAAAATAATACAAACACACACATTCGTTAATAATCTCATCTCATCGTTCATTCATTTTATTATTGTATTAACATATGAAACCATGTCGAAAACTTACTGTGAAATTTTGAAAACTATTTAAAAAAAAAAGTATTTGAAGGTGATTAAACGTAAAACAACGAAAATTCCGAAACAAAGGCAAATTATCGGTCCAATTTACGACAAAAGATATTTTTCAAATTACACATAATTACCCAACGATAATATAGCTATCGTTTTAATAGATAGATACTAGTCGTGCGCTCATTCTCAATCATCCAAGTCCCGTTGTTTCATCGATCCATCATTTGTAGAAATTGGAAAATAAATGTATATAATACTCATATATTTTATTGTTTTCGTTTTGTATTCATGCAGAACGATTCAATTTAATTAAGATAGTTTGACTATATATGTAGTTTGTATGTAGTAGTTTATGTAAATTTTATTGAAATAAAAATAATATGAATTACAAAAGGCCTTGTCTTTTAAGATCCTCGTACGTCTTTCGATTGACCACGTTGCCCTGCGAATCCTCGTACTCTTCCTCAGTTTCCGGTTGCCACCTTTCGCTCTGCTTCTGGACTTTGAGTTTTTCCCAGAGCGCGAGTGCATCCTCGATTTGCGTGACGTTGGCAAAGTGGGCGGTATTCGGGATGCCCAGACACCTCATGCCGTGGGCGTGTCGCCACTCGGCGAAATGCCTCTGGAACGCCTTCGGCCCTTTATAAATGTAATTGCCGCAGATTTCGCAATTGTAACTGATGTTCAGGCCGTGCAGTTTGTACAGCCAATAAGGGATAGGTTTGCCGTCCCAACCTAGTGGCAGGTTCTTTGGATTGTACGGAACATCGTCGGCGTCGTCGTCGATGCTCTCGTCGTCGCTCTCCTCGTTCTCGCTGTCATCCCTTTCGCCGTCGGTACGCGCCTGCTTCCTCTGCACGTTCTCCTTAGTTGCAGCCCTTTGCGCAGACACCAACTCAGCCAATCTGTACACTTGAGCTTCCAGACAAGCCAAATCCCTGTGCCTCAGCTGTTCCTTCTCTTTACTCGCTTTCCCCGCTTTATTTTTGGCCAGCAGCGACGGATCCAGCGACGTCAATCCTTTCGTGGAAAACAACCTCTGCGCTCTCTCCTCCAAAGTGCCGCCGCATTTCAAGCCCAACGCCATCAGCGCAGACTTCAACCTGTCCAGACCCAACGACGCCAGTTCCTCCCAGCTCGAGAAAGCCGAAAGCTCCAGATGGGCTCCGACGTTCGCCAAAGCGGATCCAGTCTCCTTCGGCCAACCCGGAACTGTGCCAGACTCCCACTGCAGCATCACAGCTTCGGACTCCTTCCTCAGTTCCGACTCCAAATCCATCAGCGGTTTTATCCGCTGCCCGAACCAACTCAAGTACTCTATCAAATTCAACAAGTAACGTCTGTATTCGCCGGTTTTACGCTCCTTCGGTATATCGTAAAGCTGATCGAACATTCCCAAATAAGTGATATAATCAACTTTCTAAAATAAACACATCAGTTTCAACCGAATAGCTAAAAAAAAATATAAACCTTACCTCAATTCCTTTAAGATTAATATACTTCTCGTAGCACTCGTGCAAATCCAAATACTTTCCATAACCTTCCTCATCAGAGAACTCGACCAAATCTTAGAAACATTAAATGTTAATAACATAAATCAAAAGCAACAATTCAAACATACTTGACATTTCCTCTGTGGGATTTTCTCTGGCCTTTGCAAGCTCATCGAACTCCACAGACATTGGTACACTGATCTCATTCGGATGTCTCCTGTAGAAATCTTTGATCTGCTTCAGACGATTGTAAAACTCATTGAATTCATTGGGGCCGGTGAGTGAAGCAACCTCCAATTTCCTCTGTCCATCCTTATCCTCGTACAAGTCAACGAGTCTCTCAGTATCATCTATATATTTGTCTAGCAAGTACTTGAGTCGATGATCCGAGTTAATACCTTCGCGATACTACAAACAAATGAAACAATTAGTAAATTTGTATGCATTTGCAGGTTAGGATGTGCTTGTACTTACTGTAACTTTCTTGTGCAGCATTTCCTTGACCATAGCGTCGACCAGACGCTCGCGCTCTTCATGATACCGCCTCTGCTGCTCCAAAATCGTTTCCATCCTCCAATAATATCAACTAGAAAGCTAAAACACTAATAAACACTGCAGAACGTTTTGTTTACAATCACCATCTGACAAAACTCTCTCTCTCAACAACTTCATCATCGAACCCATAGATGGAAACATTATAAAAGCTGATTTACATACAATATACGAGAAGTAATCTTTAGTTTAAAATAAATAGTGTAAATTAATTGTTAATAATATAAATAATAATGATGATTACAGCGCCAAAATGTGATGAAGTATAAGCTTATTATATGCTTGGATGTAAATTGAGTTGCCTATACCAATAATGTTTTCATAGTTATGCACGTGCATTATTTTGGCATTTGATTTCATAACCTGTAAAGTGTGGAACGTTGAACATGGGCAGGAGGACGAAGAACAAGAATAAAAATCCAAACAGGAGACATGAGGAATCCGAAAGTCTTGTCAAGGCCCCCCATTCCTTCGTCATACACAAGGGCAAAGCGATTGAGGGCCCCCTGAATAAATTGACTTTGGATTTTAGGAAAGTTATGGAACCGTTCACAGCCACCCAACTTAAAGTAAGTAACTTGTTTTTACTTATAATCATTTCATCTGTGTAATATGAATCATTTGATTGTTTCCAGGAGAAAAAGTCGAATAAATTGAAAGACTTCCTTCACATAGCATCGTTCTTCCATGTCACAAACATGTGTATATTCTATCAGTCGCATCACGGAATCAATTTGAAGATTTGCCGTCTCCCAAGGGGACCTACGTTGAGCTTCAAAGTGCACGATTTCACACTGAACAAAGATATCAGAGCGAGCATGAAGAAGGCTATGCTTTTCAAAGAGGCCTTCGACCATTCTCCCTTGATGGTCATGAACGGATTCTCTGGTGAAGGAAAGGAATTGCAGCTTATGACCACAATGTTCCAAAACATGTTCCCAGCCTTAAACTTATCTACTGTGAGTGTTTGCGAATGTAAAAATTAGAAATCAAAAGTATTGATTGGATTAAATTTGCAGGTGAATTTGAATAAGATGAAGAGGTGTGTCCTGTTGAATTACAATCCGACGACAAAAGTCATAGATTTCAGGCATTACGTGATCAAGGTGGCTCCTGTGGGCGTATCAAAAGGCGTCAAGAAGATTGTCGTTGGCAATAGGGTGCCTAATCTAGGGAAATTCGATAACATTGAAGATTTTGTTACTAAGTAAGTTAAGAGTGCAGATAATAATTGGATTGGATGCTAATGTTAATTTTTGTTCGAAGGGCTGAACTTTTATCAGAGAGTGAGTTCGAGGATGACCCAAATTCGCACATTACATTACCAGAGAATGTAAAGGCGAGGGGTGTGTTAAACGAGGGACAGTCAAAGATTAGACTGTCAGAGATTGGACCTAGGATCAGTATAGAATTGGTTAAAGTGCAGGACGGTTTGATGGACGGAGAAGTGTTGTACCACGCGTTCGTTGATAAAACCGAGGAAGAGAAGGAGGAGATCAGGAAGAGACGAGAAGCTAAAGCGTTAGTTCAATTTTAATATTTTTTTGTTATTACAGTTGTTTTACTTGTTGTTTTTAATTGCAGGAAATTGAAGGAAAAGAGGAAGAAACAGCAGGAACACAACGTTAAGGCCAAGGAGGCTAAGAAGAAGGAATTGAATGGTAAAGCTTTGGAGGGTATCAAGAAGAAGAAAGAAACCGAAAATGAACAGGAATCTGAAGACGATGACGCTGAATATTATAGGAAGGAAGTCGGAGAAGAACCGGAGAAAGGTAGATATTTGTATAAATTTCCATGGATTTTATCTAATTTTTTGGTATTTGTTCTCAGATTTGTTCGATTCAAATAAAACGGGAACGAAACGACCCGCTCAAGGGTTCAGGGGTTACAGACCGAAGAAACCGAGGATGGACAACGATGGTAACGATTCGTCGAAATTCGTCAAGAACAGAAAGTTCGGCAACGACAGGGACGGCAAATTCGGAAAGGACAGAAAGTTCGGCAAAGATCGCGATGGTAAATTCGGCAGGGACAAGAAGTTCGGCAAAGATCGTGACGGTAAATTCGGCAAAGATCGCGATGGTAAATTCGGCAGGGACAAGAAGTTCGGGAAGGACAGAGACGGCAAATTCAGGAGGGACAAGAAGGGTGGAGGAGGTGGAGGTGGAAGGCGCGTGGATAAAACCAATTCGCAGAACAGGGATTTCAGACCGATCGGTGGAAAGATCAGGAAGTTTAAGAAATAATCCAATTAAAATATATTTTTTTTTAAATTTATTATTCCGATAGTTTCGTTACTTTGCGTCTCTCCGCCTCCAGCCTACCCTTTGCCCTTAGCTCCGCCTTCCTCGATCGCCTCTCCTGCCTCGACTCCTCCCTCGTCTCGTAGTATTTGTACCTGAAATCCTTGATCGTGTTTTCCACGTCCTCGCAGTTATCGTACTCGGCGATCTTCTCGTAAGTCAGCAGTCTGCGAGACGTGTGCTTGGTGAGTACTTGTTCGCTGTTCGCCTCCAATTTCATGCAGGGATGCCTGGGCAGATCGTCTTCACTATAATCGTCCCTGCATGCAAACGAAACGGAAATCATTTTAACTATTGCTTCTGATGAGATTGCAAAATTACCTGAATATGGGAAACCAGCAGACTAATCTGCCGCCCATTTTCAAATGCTTGGCCGAGAAGTTCAGCAGGTCAAAGTAGACGGTGGAAAGGCTGTACTCGACCTTGGCCGGAATGTGCGTTTTCAGGTGGTCCTCGCTAATTTTACAGTTCACCTTCGACGTTCCGATTTTCTCCGTCGATTCCCGAATTCCGTACGGAGCTACAAAAGTGTAAATTCATGAAAAATATAGATCCAACATATATAGAAACTGTAACTCACGATCTGTAATGATTGCGTCGAACATTAAATTGTCTCTCCAGAAAGGGATAGAGCAGTCATTGACTAAAACGTCCAAGTAGTGTTTCTCTAGATTGTATTGCATCATGTTAGCTTTCACTCCTTCATCGTCGTCACGAACCTAAAATTGATTGTATTAGCAATACGTTAAGAATAAAGGATTTTATCTTGTTGTAACCTGTTGAGTAATTCTGGATGGTCTGGTCCTTGCATGCAGCATCAGGTAGTCAATGTCGCTACCCAAAACGTAACCGCCGAATTGCGCGGCTGCCACCAGCAGCGAACCCGTCCCAACGAACGGATCCAACACCAGATCGCCGTTCCTGATTTGAGCCTGATTGGCCATCAGCAAAGACAACTGCGCGTCCATGCTGGTATTACCAATGAACTTCCGAGTTTTCAGCGACAGATACTTGATGAGCTGCCTCAGACCGCTCGCAATCTACGAAAAGTTTAAATCAAATCAATAATTAAGGATTTCCAAAAGTCCGTTCCAAAGGAAGTCCGTACCCACCGTCCAAAAAACACCCTGTACGGCGACTCCGGCGGCGCGTTCGGATCCACCCCGTAATACTCGATGTACTGCAAACACGTGTCCGGATCTTTCAGCTTCACCGGCCCTTTGTACGGTAAATACTCAAACACCTAAAAAAAACGAATTAATAAATCAATTAAAACTTTACATTTAAAATTTTATTTTACCTCGATTTTATCGACTTTCTCCTGCTGCGTGAAATGCTTGCAGAAAGTCTCCACCTCTATTTTGAAACTCTTGTCCTCGTCCAGATGGGGCTCCATCAGGTGTTCAGGGAACTTCTTCATCATCTCGTGCAAACCATCAACGCTGTTGGAATGACCCCACAGTTCGATGCAGGAGCGCAAAAGGACAGATCTTTGTGTGATTTTCTTGGCATCCTGCTCTGAAGCGAACTTGACCATCCAATACGGTTGCTATGTATAAAACAAACACAACTTAACAAAAAAACAATATAACTAATTTGCGATTAACTCACTAGATCTGTAGGTTTTTCAATGAAATCCATGGTGATATTGAAAGCGGTCAGCAAGGAATTTATTTCCTATTAGAAAACAAACAGTTTAAATTTATAGAATTTCAATATTAAGGGAAACTTACTTGGAATCGAAATTCCACATGCTCCTGTGCGAACCATAACAAATACCTCTTGCCCGCTTGATTCATTTTCAAAATATATATATAACCTCTAAACAATTCACGAAATCACACGTGATAAATACAAACGAAATAATGTGGATTTTCAAGTATTTATTAACGCACCATAAACACAGCTACACATGAAAAGCAGTTCAAAACACGTAGAACTAAAACAATACTCTGCACAATAACAAATGTAGGCTAGACTAGAAACTTTCTAATGTAACAAGTGTTATCTATACCACAATACATCTTAATTTCTACTTTAATATTTTAAATTGTTGCTACTTTCTAAAGCTTTAAACATTTATTTATAATTTACCTACAACCAATCCTATTAGATTCGAATGCTTAATACTGAAATTGAGTTAGGTTTAGATATTTAAAATACTACAGTCCTAATCCACTATATTCATCTTACACATAATACAAATATATCTGTATTATGTATCTTACTAAGCTAATACAAATATTTTTTTGAAATAAGTAAATATTTAAGTTTTTTTTCTTAGTTTAAATATGCTAGGCAACCAAATGTACTTAAATTATGCATTCAAATTTAAACAATTGAATTCCCTAATAATAATTAGAAACAGGATTTAATGTAATTAATATTAGAAAAGTAATAAGTAGAGTTGAAAAATTGAGTTAGCAACGAATTTCGCTTTGATTTAACTAATGTATAAAGGGTTGTTGAAAAGGGTTGAAAATAGCGCCATCTGCATATAAGTAATTTGTTTTCCATAAATTAATTGGGGTTTTCTTTGAAAGATTACTATAACTTTCTGTAAATTTCGTTCATTGGTTAGTTTGTAGTAGAGATTTAATGAATAATAAATGTTGTTGATTGAATTCTGATTAGCTTTTGCTGATGTATGAAGGGTTGTTGGTAGTTGAATGGGGAAAAGCGCCATCTGCATATTTTCGTTTTGCTGAAACTGATTTTAAATTCCTGTAAATGTGGGACAATTTTTATCAATTTTTTCCTAAATAGTCTTTATCTGTAAGATGGAAATTTATGGACTGAGACTATTTGGGCTAAGTAATATAAGCTATAAGAGATGAGTCAAAGTTATAAAAAGTTTATAAAATATATAGATGCAACAAATATGATCCAAATAAATAAATAAGATCGTGTACAAATATAACATTATTTTTTTTTTAAAGATATACCGACCCTCGGTATTTAATTCGTTTTTAGGCAAAGGGTGGAACGTTTGCGTAACGCTGGTGGTTGAAAATCCGAGGGCGTGGACTTTTTAGGAGGAGGAGGATGTGCGAATTCAGAGGTATCGTTTGCTCCGCCTCCACCAGTTCAGTTGTTGCTACAGCTGAAGGTTCTTCATGTAGACGTGCTTGGCGCGCAGATGACTCCGCAGGGTGTCGATCCTGCTGTAGGTGGCGGGACAGTAAGGGCAGATCGCCCTTTGCGGCGTGTGCGAATGATAATGGTGCCATCTGTTGGTCACCTCCTTGCTGCAGGCCCTGCACTTCCACATGAGGGCCGTCGTCGCCGAGGGCTCGAACATATCGGTGTACGACAACTGCATTCCACCGTGCAGTTCTAAAACACAAATTGCAATTCTTACAATTTACATTCGCAATCATCGTCGAATCACTATTGGAATTTGGGGGGTTTGTTATTATATAAAATAAAAGAAAAGGGCGAATTCAAATCAAACGCATTCATTTGTTATTTTTTTTTTCATCTTTCAAGTACACAATAACTTTTGCTGCTGCTTCCCTTGTTTTCACAGCTGTTGCTATTTTATTTAACGACGATTCTTCTCTTTTTTTTTCTCATTTGTTTTTCCAGACATAATAATTAAATATATATAATTTACAGTAATTAAATTTAATATATATATATATATACTTCTTGCTTTCTTTTTTTTTTGTTTGGAATATATACCCTGATTATGATATTACATTATGTATATAATATTTATATAAACTCTTCCACTTTCAGATTTCCTTTTTCTTCACGTATTTTTTCTTCATATATATATATATTTTACAAATTACTCTATTACGTAATAAATCCTCTTCTACACAAAGGTTGTACTCGCACTTCACTTACATAACTAATATAATATTTTTTTTTAATTTTTTTTTTTTACAAATATTCCCTCCGTTCCATACAAAAAATATATTTACATAGTTTTCTTCGTTATTTCCATCGTCACTCGTTTTTTTTTTTGTTTTTGTTTTCGGTTTGTTTCTTCGCATTTTTCTCTCTCTCTAACTTTGGTATTACATAAAAATTGCACAATAAATATTGAGTTAAATGTTAAACAAACATAAGAAAATATTTGGTATTGCTGTTTTCGTTCTTCCCAAAAGCTTGGATCTTCAGAAGAACAAAAAAATATAATTGACTAATATATAATTTTTTTTTGTATATATATATTATGAACGGTATTTTTTTTATATATATACATATAAAAATCTTGACTATCATTTAATTTGGCATTAGTTTACAAATACACGATTTACAATTTAAACTTTTAATAATAATAATAAAGTTTATGTTGTTTTTGTAAAGTTAAACTTTGGTTCACCTCTTAAACTAGACGTTCGCTTTATAAAATAATTATATGTATGGCAAGTTTCGTTAAATTATCGTTAAATAATAATAATTAAATGTTAGTTGCTTGGTTACCCAACAAAACGCCCTCTACTTCATTCATTGTTTATACCTGTTGCTAAGAAACGAGTTGTATAAAGTCGTTATTACGTTTATGAATTGAATTGAAATAAAGAATTGCGTTGCCTTGGAAACGGTAAATATTGGGTGTTTTGTTGGACACGCTTTTGTTTTTGGTAACTAAAACGTATTTGACTATAATAAGATATTTTGGCATTGGAAGAAAATTGTTTTCTTCGTTTCTTCCTTTTTTTTTTCGTTCGTTCTTAGATGCTACACTATTCCCCCCCCTGTACCGGTCTAGAGTTAGCTGCGTGAAGGATGATCTTAAAGTTAGTCATAGCTCTGGCCCCGATCTCGACGACGACTCGAAAACTGAAAGTTTAAAACAAAAGAAGGAAGGAAAACAAAACAGAGATGTTCCCGATGGAACAAACAAACAAATAAAAATAATAATAGTTAAATTAAATTAAGATAAATCCCAAGAAAATCGAAAGAAATGAAAAAGAAAAAGAAAGAAAAAAACTAATCGTCAAAGAGTCCCAGCTAGGCAACCATCGGATGTTTGGTTCGCATGTGCAGGAGCAAAGTGTCGCTCCTGGTGTAGACGGCGGGGCAATGGGTGCAGGAGTATTGTCCTGGAAAATGGACATAGTAATGGTTCCTCGTGTTACTGACAATTTTCCCGCACAGCACGCACCGTCGCCTCTCGTCCATCGCGCCCACCCGCTCGAACAATTGCGACACTTTGTAGCATTTCGTAGCATCTGAAACAGTCGAGAGCAGAACAGAACAGAATGATTATATATGTTTTAAACGCCTTCAAATCACACCCTCCCCCATCCGACGGGTCTATCTAACAAACGAAAAACGACGACAACAACAATAACAACGCGTTAATTTCCTTGGTAACAGTTTCGTAGCTTATAGCAACCACAGCACCCTCACAATAAATCCATGCTACTCAACAACGACAATAACAAATGCAGGATGGGAGCGGTTAAGGTCTTTGGTTCTTCGCTCGTTGCTAAGTAAAAAAAATAATAATAAACAAACAACGACAGCATCATCCAATTTGGTTCTGAAGCCGACTTTGATAATCTTGAATCACCGCACATAAAAACACACAATATTACAAAGAAATAAAACATTAGTTATTAGTTAATAAATGAATTTGCATATGCGTATCAATAATAATTATATTGAAATATTGAGACTTGAAAAATTTCAACGTTAGATTGAAACAAAACAGTAAAAATTCAATTGTTTTGTAACTGGTATACAAATATTTGAACTGCTAAATTGAATTTCCATAGCAACTGTTCAAATTAGTTTCGAACAAAAACAATAAAATTTCAATTGTTTTCGAACTAGTTCAAACTGTTAAACAATTGAATTTCCACAGCAACTGCTCGAATTAATTGCAAATAAAACGAACAAAATTTCAATTGTTTTGTAACTTGCGTACTGGTTTCAGGGATTCGGGTATAAAGTCCAAATAATTTCTGTACAAAATGATCGATCAAAAAGACGTTACAACCGAATTCTGTACAGTATCAAACAAATGAGTAAGATTTCAATTGTTTTGAAACTAGTACTCAAATATTCAAACTGTCAAATAATTGAATTTCCATAGCAACTGTTCAAACAAAACAAACTTCAATTGTTTTGTAACTGGTATAGAAATATTTAAACTGCTAAATTGAATTTCTATAGCAACTGTTCAAATTAGTTTCGAACAAAAGCAATAAAATTTCAAACTGTTAAACAATTGAATTTCCACAGCAACTGCTCAAATTAACTGCAAATAAAACGAACAAAATTTCAATTGTTTTGTAACTTGCGTACTGGTTTCAGCGATTCGGGTATAAAGACCAAATAATTTCTGTACAAAATGATCGATCAAAAAGACGTTACAACCGAATTCTGTTCAGTATCAAACAAATGAGTAAGATTTCAATTGTTTTGAAACTAGTACTCAAATATTCAAACTGTCAAATAATTGAATTTCCATAGCAACTGTTCAAATAAGTTTCAAACAAAAACAATAAAATTTCAATTGTTTTCGAACTAGTTCAAACTGTTAAACAATTGAATTTCCATAGCAACTGTTCAAATCAGTTTCAAACAAAACACATTTAAATTGTTTTGTAACTAGTACAAATGCTATAACGATTCGGATATAAAATCCAAATAATTTCTATAGAAAAATATAGATATGATCAAAGAAAAAGACGTTGTAACGGAATTCTGTTTAGAATCAAACAAAAGAGGAAATTTTCAATTGTTTTGAAACTAGTATTCAAATATTCAAACTGTCAAATAATTGAATTTCCATAGCAACTGTTCAAACAAAACAAATTTCAATTGTTTTGTAACTAGTACAAAATGCTATAACGATTCGGGTATAAAATCCAAATAATTTCTATAGAAAAAGATAGAAAAGATCAAATAGAAAGACGTTATAATCGAATTCTGTTTAGAATCAAACAAAAGAGGAAATTTTCAATTGTTTTGAAACTTGTACTCAAATATTCAAACTGTCAAATAATTGAATTTCCATAGCAACTGTTCAAATCAGTTTCAAACAAAACAAATTTCAATTGTT